CGGAAAAGCAAGGGATTGACGAGTGCCTGGCGGAATAGGGATTGACCTCGAGGGAAAAAGACTGTCTGCCCGGCTTGGCCTATTTAATGAATATTTTTGAAGCTATTAAATTCTATTTAAATTTTTTAAAATGAGGCTGTAACAAATTTTTTTTGTGTACGCACTACCGACGACGTTACAAAACAAATAATATAAAAAAAATTGAATTCAGTTCCTACTTAGGTCAACTAAGAAATTTTTTTATTTTAGTTACTTTTTATTAAATACAGTCGGACCTCTATATAACGAAGTCGCTAAATCCTGGAAAAAAGTTCGTTACATGGAAAATTCGTTATATAAAAGTTCATCTTTTAATAAACTTTATAAACCACATAACAAATTTTAAATTCATAAGCTCTATGTATTAAAAAAAGTGATTATTCACACCTTTTTTTAAATTAATATATATTTATTTTATATATCTTACCCATCAGAAAAAAGAAAAACTGCAAGGAAAACAAGAAAAAAAGTATGTCGAATGCATTGTATTTTAAATAGTAAGAAAATAATTTTATATTAAAATTTATGACTTTTAAGGACATTTTCTAATTTAAAAGGTACAAGTAATACTAAACATGTATTATTTTATAACTAGAACGCGGGGACACGGGACAACTCCTCTGAGGCTGAAAGGGGATATCGAAGAAGTTTCTATAAAACATCCAGTGAACTGGACAATGTGGGTTAAAGGTTGCACTTCTTGGATGAAACTTCCAGAACTCTATTGATCTCGGCGAATTAGGATCTAATAAAACCAGTTCAAGATTTATGACCTCCATAAAATGTGTTAAGAGATAGAATAGCTTGAAATGTTCAGAAATACTTTAAAAATAGGGGGAGGGGCGAAATTGAATCACAAAAGAAAAAGTTCGTTGTATAGAAAATGTACTTCTCTATAGAGAGGTTATTTTACGAAGAAAATCGTCAAATGTTCATGATTCCAAGAAAAAGTTCGCAATATAGAGGTTCGTTATATAGAGGTTCGACTGCAATTACAATTAATATAAATATGTATATACATATGACAGAATCACAATATTAAGTGGCAAAATAGGAAGCTATTTTCCTTACTATATATAGTGTTAGACTATTGTTTTTGTTTGTTGCTATTTACTCATTCATAAATCACATTCTCCGAAATAAGGCCATCCCAGGTAGGATTCGAACCCACGACGCTTGGATTAGAAGTCCAACGCGCTATCTATAGCACTACAGGGACACAACGAGCGATTTTTCATTTTATAAATGGTGTTGCACTAGTATTTTTGTTTGTTGTTGTTCGTTTTTTTTAGTTTAATTAATGAATTAATATTTGAAAAAATGTATTAGCATCAAGTGTCATCCACCACAAGTTTTAAAAAATGTATTTGAACTTGAGTGGATGAATAAAAAGTATTTTATTAACGATTGAAAATTTGAACAAGATATATATATATATATGTATATATATATTAGGGATACCCTCATACCGGTATTTTGAGCCATTTGTAGAATTTTGTAATACCAGTATTCACAAGTTTAAATACCAGTTTTTCGGTATTAACTAGAAATTTTTAAAATTGTCTCCGTTATATGTTCAGGGATCGCTCACATAGCAAAATCGTATACGTTTTTGTTTTTACGCCTTCCTAACGGTCGAAATTAATTCGACTATGAATATAAAGTTGCATCGTACAATCAAGAGAAGTGATAAAATATGTGAATCATCCAAAGGGAGGGTCAAGACTATCCTATTAACAGCTCAGAGCGATACTGCACACGCACACGCAGGATTCGCATACAATGAACGATTTTTCTTTCTATATATGCTGTTGGACTATTATTTTTTTGTTACTTTTTATTCATTAATTAAACTTAACTAATGAATTACTATTTTAAAAAATTGTATCAACATCAAGTGTTACACTACAAGTTTTAAAAAATATATTTGAACTTGAGTGGATGAATGAAAGGTAGTTTATTAACGATTGAAAATTTGAACAAGGTATATATATATATATATATATATATATATATAAGGGAGAGTGTGAACTAATAGTAGGAATTGAAAAAAGTGTTTCAGGTCCTCATAACATCAATTAAAAAAAACACAGTTTTCCTTTTTTTTATGAAGTACTTTAAATTATAACTTTTGAAACAAATTTTGAATAACAGTTAGTTCATTTTAATATATTATTGGAAAATTATCATTAATCAAACTTATTGCATTACTTTCAATAAATAAATAGTAGTAATTATAAGATTAAATTATATTAGATTTAAAAAGGGTTAAAACATAAAACCAAATAATACATTTTTAGAAATAAATCTATTTTGATGTTCAAAGGATTATAAATGCTTATAATGTAAAACAAAATAATAATAATAATTTATGTTTTTAGTTAATGTTAATATTTTTTAGTCTCAAGATTGAGCTTATTATTTATAAATAAAAAAAAAATTGAATTAACTGTATCCCTGCAGACATTTTAAATCCCTTTTCGAGTGACAGTGAAAATTTAATGTCACAAGAACCAAAATCCTTTCAGACAGAAGTGCCTTAGATAATTTGTACAACAGATGACACCCACGTCGTAATGAAGATGTATGTTCCTTTTTCCCAATAGATGGCACCACGAAAAGCATGCAAAAGAGGAAAATATTTTTACAATTTGTTTTCCAAATGTAGCCCTGAAACAGACATCTTAAAATAATTCGACTGTTGTCTTTGAGAGTCTAGATAAGGGGAAAATTAACTTTATATTTTGAATTATTTTAAATTAGAAATTTAATTACCTGTTATATATGTTTGATTATCGACTAATGTAAACAGAAATTAAAATCTTTACTATTAACCATTAAAATATAGAATTCAGGATAATTTTATATTTAATGTTATTGGAAATATATTGCTTTTGTAGAAAAAGATATTTACAATGACAAAAAATGCCGAGTTATAAGAAAAGGTATAAATATATCATTAAATTTACTTTATCGTAAAATTTCAATAATCATATGTTTAATAAACAATTATAATACCTTCCATGTTCCAAAAAGGGCATCCTATTACCGTAATGAATATTTGTCAGTTGCCTTTTTTTAAAAACAAAAAAAATCAGGAAATTATTTTTGTCTTCTTTAAATTTCTTCTTTTTTTTTTTTTTTATAAAAATCTAATAAAGCTATGACAAAGAACACTATGCCCTGTATTACTTTTATTTCTATTTAGAATTATCAAAAGTTAATTTATTTCAATGAAATCATTCGTAATGATCAAAATCTTTTAAAAAATACAGTCGGACTTCTATATAACGAAGTCGCTAAAGCCCGGAAAAAAGTTCGTTATATAGAGGTTCATCTTTTAATATGCTTTAAAAAAACCACATATAACAAATTTTAAATTCATAAACACTATACATTAAAAAAAGTAATTATTTACACCTTTCACCAGAAATACTTTAAAAATAAGAAGCAAAAAATTGAATCACAAAAGAAAAAATTCGTTTTATAGAAAATGCACTTCGCTATAGAAAGGTTATTTTACGAAGAAAATCGTGAAATGTTCAAGTTTCCTGGAAAAAGTTCGCTATATAGAAAATTTAGCAGTATAGAGGTTCGACTGTATATTTTTGTGAAAATATTCTTATGATTCCAGTGAGTTAAAGCAGTTTCCTAACATGCATAATGCATTTTTATCAATTAAAATATTTTGTTAACAAATAACTGGTATCTAACTTTAAATCTCGAAAGCATTTGAAATGCCAGAAATTTTCAAACCTTATCCCGATACAGGTAAAAAAATAACAAATAAAAATATTAACTTACATTTCATACAAAAGATGGCGCCAAAACAAAAGTTATGCACTTTTGGAATTAAAATCTATTGGAATTTTAACAAAAAATCACAACAATTTATGCGACAACTTTTGAACTATTTTAGCCATTTTTTCTTTAAAAAAATGAAAACATAACAAGTGGATTACTAGGTGTTCTGGAAAACAAAAAGAATCGTGACAAGACAAAAATTTAAAACCTAAAACTCGATTAATTCTTACACAAACTACGATTAATATATATCGATTCATTTAAAATTCAAATGAATCAAAATTTATGTAAGGGGAGCGTCATCTGGTCCCCCCAACAGACCCATTAAAGCCGGGTATTTATGGTTGCGAATTTGATATCATTATTAATTTATGTAGAGTTACTCGGCTATACCGCGGCAGTAATGATCTAGGAATAAGTTTCACAAGAGTTAATGCGTTTTAAAAAGCATCAACAGTCGAAAGTGATCCACAAATCGTGCAAAATAAACTATTTCAAAGTAATTTTTTTTAAGTTTATAAATATTGTGTGTGTGAGGTAATTTGTATTATTTCATCATCTCTGAATGTAAGAAGGTATGTACTGATGGTAGGAATATTGAGATTATATTACTTTTCCTTTATTCAATTTCTCTTCAAATTAACTATTCCCCATGTGTTTGAGGTATCAAAACAATATTTCCAAATGAAGCAATGAAACCTTCTAGAGTACAATGACAATAGGGTAGAAATCCATGCGGGTAAAAAGGACAAAAGATTTATGGTGTTTCCAGATAGTAGAAAAAAGTTTAATGCAAAAAACTATAAGAACCTTGATGGGTAGTTGCTCTATTTACAACAAAAATATTAGACTTAAACGGGGATAATGGTTGTAAGAAAATGGGGAAGAAAGATTTTTTGTTGTTGTTCAACAAAGGGAGGGGGATTGGTCACTATAAGCGCAGAAATCTATGGTATAACAACCGAAAGAAATGTCATATGGTGCTTTCTCTGCGATCTTAAACTGTCTGCAGTAAAACACATTTTACAGAAACGAATCGACAACTGGAGAGAGAATATTTTTCCTGAGACATTTCGACAATAAAGAAAATCTAAGAAGATTTCAAGGGGAATATTAGAAAAAGCTAGTACTAGTGTCTAGTTAACGAGTTAGTGTTTGCTAACATCGTACTGTAAGGCAATTCAAGGGACACTGGTGACGCATCTCGTAATTTTGAACCACGGTCAAGTGCCAAGAACGACACCTAGGCTGGTACCCCTCTCCAAACTTCTACACCACGCCAACGGGAGAGTGTAAGCTAAATTAACGTCACACTGCAAAGCTATACGAGGACTAGTGGCGACGGACATCGTCATTTTGAATCCTTGTCAAGTGACGAGGACGACACCTAGGGGGGCACCCCTGTCCTAGCTACCGCACCACACCAACGGGAGAACTTTTGAGCATCGACAGATTTAACGTGCATCGGTCTCCTCTACACGGCAAATATTCAGCTGTATTAGACTTGAACTCATTACACGCCAACTATGAGTCCATTACCTTGATCACTGGGCTACCGCAGCCCTACGTTATCGGGAGTCTCAGAAGTTGTATTACGAGTAAAATTATGATGTCCGTGGCAATAGCCATAAGGTTATTAAGAGCATCGTTAATTTTTCTCTTATTCACTCCACGCTTATTTTCAATAATTTTCCATTTAGCAAACTCACTTTATTATCTTTTTTTTTTTTTTTTTTTACTTTGCTCTTATTTACATACATAATGATTCCTTCACAAGACGAGGGTTTCTTATAAAACTACGTCATAAAATAACCCTCTAGGACCAATTAAGGAATCCGACTATGTTCGGAACCATAATTTTGTAAAAATTTATAAATGAATATTTTTTTTTTAAAAAAATATTTAGTTTCACTTAGACTAGAATATGTTTAGAATGAATTAGAATTGTTTTAGAAATATTCAAACTCAAACTCAATAGCGCAACAGCCCATGAGGGCCAGGGCCTACTGTGCTCATCCCAGTACACGTGATCATTGAACGCTGAGGTGTATGAGCAGATGTCCCGATCAGGTGATCAGTCTGATACGAAACCCCCAGTGTTTAAGTCTCCAAGCAAGCTTGATACTCTTTTATCGACCCACTGCAGTAGGGATGAAAGGTTGAGTTGACCTTTCCCCACCCTGGAATAGAACCCGGACCTGTGGTGTGGAAGCTCGATGCTCGACCACTGGGCCTTTAGAAATATAACTACTATAAAAATTATTTAAATGTAGCGTTTTGGCAAAAAAAATGAACATAGAGCTACTGAGAACATGTAACTTATGAGGTTATTCAAAATGACCTATTTTTGCCCGTAGTTCTTTAGACAACTCCTTCTCGAATAATGACAGCTTGGTATAAATCCACCTCTATTTC